ATTGGACTCAATGAGACGATGTGTGAAACAAAACTTGCCGTCATCTAGTTTACTCTTCATCACCTTTCAGATGAAAAAGTGGACAGACCTCAGAGACAATGGCGGGCGGGTTCAACCAGAAAAGGAAGAAGTTCCATTTGTCAAGAGATATTTAACCAACAACTCCATCGTCGCTACACTTGCAGAAAACCCCCTTCAACCATTTCACCGACAACTCGCGCTGCTTTCGTGTTTTCCTTCTTTGTTAGTAGTCCTTGGATTATTATGTTATGAGTGACACCATCTGAAAAGCATCCATTTCTTTCCATCTCCTTTAGCAGCTGATATGCCTCCTCCGTGCATCCTCCTTTGCACAATCCACACATGACAATACTTTACATCCACACGTCAGGTTCCGGCCTCGAGCATGCAAACAATTAAACAGCCCCATAGCATCGTCAAGCTTTCCGGCATTACACATGCCTTATATTAGAATAGTGTAAGTCACAATATCTGGCACGAATTTGGAATCTTCCATCTTTCGAAGCAATATCAGCCCAACATACTCCGATGCCTGGGTCGAGAAAGCATCGTCACCAATAGTCATTGCATGAGCATCTTCCGTCCATAAAATGGTGGAACCTGTTTGCATCCCTTACGACTATAGATCTTCCAGTTGCCATGGAGATATATTTGAACGCGGAATGACAATCTCCGCAAATGCGAAGATTCTTAAATACCCTGATAGATTTCGGACTGGAGGTGCTTATTAGGCCAAAAACAACAGCAATTTTCTCACTGTGTTGGAGCAAATATTGCTCCTTTTTTTCCTCCTCCACATCATGAAGAACAAATTCAGTATTCGGAACATAACCCAGTTTCTTTATTCGACTAGCCAATTGGTCCAGTTCGTCATAGATCTCCCTTGCCTTTGGGTGCGAAGTGTCACCCACATAGAACTTGTGAACTGTATTTTTCACTTCAATCCAGCTACAACCAGCTTCTTTTGTAAGATTTTTCAGTTTCATCTTCTTTCTTATTGCTGCTGCATCTTCCCATAGACCAGCCGAGGCATACATATTTGATAGCAAAATATAAACAGCGGGGTCATCTGGTTCCTGCTCAAAAATCATTGCTGCAGCTTCTTTTGCAAGTTCAACATTGCCGTGAACTCGGCAAGCTCCAAGGAATGTACGCCAGACCAGCGTATCAGCCCTGAAAGGCATTGAATTTATAAACTTAAGGGCTTCGGCAAGGGATCCTGATCTGCCCAATAAGTCCACCATGCATGCATAGTGTTCGGTTCTGGGCACGATTCCATGTTCTGTGTACATTGACCTAAAGTGTTTCCATCCATCAGATATCAAACCCACGTGACTACAAGAGGATAAAACAGCGACATAGGTGATCTCATTTGGCCTCACACCGGCATCAAGCATTTTATGGAACGTGTCTAGAGCTCTAGTCCCAAATCCATGTTTTGCGAAACCAGTGATCATTGAAGTCCAAGTTATAATATTTTTCTCCCCCGTCTCGTTGAAAACTCGAAAAGCAGCTTCTATGTTTCCACACCTGGAATACATAGAAATCAAAGCATTGGAAATGCACTGATTTGAGTCGAGCCCTGATTTTACCATCCTCGCATGGATTTGCTCCCCCTTACCGATAGCGCCGACACAAGCAGCTCCGCTTAAAAGGCTGGCAAATGTAAAAGCACTCGTTCCCATCCCTCTCTCCTCAATCTCATGTAGTAGTTCAAAGGCTTCATCGGACTCCAAACTTTTGGCATAGGCATCCACAAGGGTATTATAAGAAACCAAATTCTTTTCAAATAGCGCATCAAAAGCTCTCTGAGCATCTTCCATGTGGCCCGACCGAGCATACATGCTAATAAGAGAATTACCCACGCAAGTATCACAGGCAAAGCCCAATTTTATAGCTAGTGCGTATATTTGTATCCCCATATCTACATCACAAATACTTCCACATGCCTTGAGAACACTAGCAAATGTGAAATGGTTTGGCCTCACAGGACCTTTTGTCATTTCCCAAAAGAGTTTGATGGCCTCCTCATTCTCTTCAGCATGCACATATCCTGTGATTATCGCTGTCCAAGACATCACATTGTGATCTTGCATCCGGTCAAACACCTTCCTCGAATCATGAAGCGATCCACTAGCTACAGACTTCACGTACATGTCCACTAAACTGCATCCAACACAGACATCTGAAGCCAATCCAGACCGTATAGCCCAGGAATGCAATTGTACCCCAAGCGATAGTAACTCCAACTCCGAACACGCCGACAAAACAGCCGTGAGCGCAAATCTATCTGGCACAGGCCCACTCACCAGCATATCCAAAAACAAATCAACAGCTTTCTCAGGACAACCCAACTGAGTGCATCTTGTCATCATCAAAGTCCAAGCAACCACATTCCTCTCGGGCATTTTCTCGAACACCTTACGAGCTGAAACCAAATCAGCACTACCCTTTGCAAACATGTCAATCAATGCACACCCAACACACACATCAGAATCAAGATAGCCGCTTTTCATTATAAACCCGAAAACCGTATCGCCAATCGATGCATTCGCCGGAACCGAACAAGCCCGAATAGCCGCCGCGAAACAATAATCGTTAGGAAAAAAACCATCTTCAAGCATACGAACGAACGTATCGACCGCTTCAAACTCCATGCGATTATTGGCATAGCAGGAGATCATGGAACTCCAAGAAACCAAGTCCCTCTTATCACCCATGTCCCTAAAAACCCTCTCCGCCTCAGCCCAGTCGCTGGATTTCGAGTAGAGGCTGATGAGGGAGTTGAGGATCACCGAGTCGGGCTCGAGCCGGGACCGAGCGAGCGCGCGGTGGACGCGCCTCCCCAGCGCGAACGCGCGGGAGCGGATGCAGGACTTGAGGAGGAGCGAGAAGGCGAGGAGGTCCGGGTGGGACCCGTCACGGGACACGAGCTCGAGGCGCGCGGTTGCCGCGCGGAGGTCGCCGCCATCGGGGTGGGCGACGAGGAGGCGGCGGCGGCGGCGGTCGAGGGGCGGCGGCGGCGAGAGGCTGTGGCGGGAAGGAGCGAGCTTGACGGTGGTGGACGGTGGAGAGAAGAGAAGAGAGAGGCTCATTGCTCCTCCGTACAAAAGACGAGCTTGGCCTGTCAATCATGCTTCTGATTGGACAAGTTTTTATTTCGCATCTCCTTCGTACATGGAGAGGAAGATGATCAGACAATGCACGATTTCATCATTTCAATATCACCCTGAAGTTGGTAATCTTGAGGAGTTGTCGGAACGCTTTGATGAAGTCGAGAATGATTCGGGTTCGATTCCGATGCCGGCATCATCGATTCACCTCTCGGACGGATACGGAAGCGGCTCCCGGGCAGGTCGCGGTTTATCGATATCTCCTTCATGCATGTCGAGAGATTCCATTCGTTGATGGCCGATCATTATGGATTAGTTATACATACCAAATGGCAACTATTACCATTTTCCGAGTTATGTCTCTTTTCTTTTCTAATTGCTCCATTTCAACACTTGCATTTTTGCATTTACATTTCTCCTCCTACACCAACTTTATAAAAGATGATGTCCTTATAAAATAGCTGTGGAGCCATAAGATCTCAATATTCCTCATGTAACGGTCAAGGACACTATGTGCACCTCTTGTAAGGGTCAAAGGTGTCATGGTCCACGGGATGAAGTATCGCAAGCTCGAAGTCAAAAACTTTTTGGAGTTGAATTTTGATCTAATAGAATGTTGTGAGACTTAATGTCAAATTGTAAAATTTGCATGTCGTATTCCCGAGGTAGATTTTCTATCCTCTAGCCACACCGAGAAAGATCTCGTATATTTTTTTATAGGCTTAATACACAAATATCCCGAATTTTCTTTTGCGTCATTAAAAACCCTAAATTTACTCATTATAACACAAACACCTCAATCATTTTTGTCATAAAAAACCTCAAACTTATACTAATGTGACAAATATATCCCGGATGGAATTGAAATAAAGGGTATATATGCTACACGCGTGTAAGTTTGGGCTTTTCCATCCATCGCAATAGGCAAGTTCGGGATTTTTTATGACGCAAAAAAAATATTTGGGATGTTTGTATCGGAGTGGGCATATTTTGGGATTTTTTGTGGTATTTGCCATTTCTTATAATCAAGGGAATAGTCATCACCTTTAGAGAAAACGTGCTTATTCAAAGACCCCGTTCGGCATGAAATCATACACGAGAGCTTGCTTAGAGAATAGTCTTTCGTCATCTTCTTACGTACCAAGCTAACGATGTGAACAGTTCACATGTTGCCCGAGAAGAAATTGTAGAGGAAATCGGATGAGAAAGAAGACACAAGAATGCAACGATTAACAAACGGCATCAAGAATCTTCTTGATTAATTTGTCTACTACTCATTGACTCAACGAACGATAATTTCAGAAAAATAGAAGTGCCTTCATGAAACTACAAGATGAAAAAGGACAGAAACAACATAAACCACCTACGCATGAACATTGCGAGACAAATGAAACGTTACAAAGCCGCTAAAACTCCCAAAGAAGAAAAACCAGAATTACCAAAGATTCGTGAAAGAGAGAGCGGCAAATTTATAGATGCTCGAATTGTACTGTTGTGTACTTCATCTAAATTCTTTGTAATCTACAAACTTGAATAATATTGAACTCTTGGCCGATTAGCAAATCGGCGAGTTAGCCGAAGAGAAAAGGACAAATGTACACTTAAGAATTAATTTGAATTACTTGAACAGATCAAATTGCATACTTGGTCCATAGCAAAAGATCAAATTGCATTGTTTCCATCCCATATCCGAAACAAATAGAAGCTTTTGAGGTTGCTCATCCATTGGTACCATTAAAGAAAGATTCGTATGCTAATCATGGGAGAAAACCTATTGGGCACGACCACTATAAATAGTCAAGACTTGGGCCTCTCAAGGTGCACAATAGGATTGAAGCACGAAAATTAAGTCAAGGATATCACGTTATGGATACTCCTTCAAGAGTTGCAATTATGCTAGTTGGGTCCCTTTTGATGTTCCATGTTGTTCAAGGTGCTCCGGACACCAGCATAGTTTATGGTGGTTGCAATATCGGTACCTATTCGAGCGGCGACCCTTACGCTAGCAGCGTGGCTTATGTCCTCGCGGACATGGAGACCGTGACCCCGAATCACGCGAACTATGACTACTTCACCACGTCTCCTTATCCCACAGTGGTTGCCTATGGTCACGCCACCTGTAACTCGGCGCTTTCTTATAGCGATTGCGGCATATGCGTCAGCGCTGCTAAGGCCCGGATACTGGCGGACTGTCCGAAAAGTGTTGGCGTCCACATGGTGTTTGAAGATTGTAGTATGAGGTATGAAAGCTATTCATTCACCGATTAAGTAGTGCGCCGCCGACCCAGAGGACCATGTTTTATCGTGTGCGGTTGTTTCAGCCGTACGTGTTGCTATGTTTGTTTCGTTTTCGTGGGAAATAATATGATTGGAATTATGCTTTCTTTGTTATTTTAAAGTTATCAAAATAATATTTATTTGTTATAACGAAAAAACCTAACCAAATAGCTACAAGCTGATGACTGGTACGAAAAATCAAACTCGCAACGAGTATCCAATCCACACTTAGCTCATTGGATTTGTTATTGTCATTCTCAAGTGAGAGTCTTCAAGAGACCGCAGTTGGAGACTCACAAATAAGAGGACGTGCTAGATAGGGCAAAACCAAAAGCCTAAATCAATAGAAGGAAACACTGTCTACTAAAAGTTAATGGTTATAACCTATTTACCATATAATTATATGTTGAACTCGAAACACAACACCATGTTGAAATGCAGCAAGAAATAGCCAGACTTTGGCCCCAATATTCGCGGAAGGATCACGCCTCAAAATCATTAAGGTGGTTCAGGACATATAACGCCGTGCGTAGATGGCACACAACGATAAGGTCATTTAAATGCCAAGAAAATATTTCACAGAACCCACATCCGTGAAAACAAAATTTATGGAATCGAAACCGTTTCATATGTCAGATCAGTTACTAGCCATTTCTAATCATATCCGTGTCATCAACATAAACCAAAACGAGTACAGAAGATGAGCTAATGCATGAACCACAACGCAATTATCAGCATAAGATTGAATCAAACCAGCATCTAGTAATGCGGTAGAGAATAGTTCAGAAACCATCTGTGACTAGGGAGGGATGATATATAGCCTCCCTGTATTGGAAACAATGTAAGAAGGCATCTGCACATCAAGTCAATAAAGATCGCAGTCTCGAGTAGTAGCAGATAACACCAACTACCCTAAAAACACAGATAACACCAACAACCCGAAAATCACATACAATGGCCAGCCACACAACAGGACGAAAGGTGTTGTGATAATCAACCCTTTCAACCAATGTGTATGCGCCTTATATCACTTTGGACCATCTGATAATCTGATCACCTCTTAATTTTGCACACCCATCCACGTAAAATGGGTTTCTTATTCAGAAGAAAAGTTGCAAGAGACCACATTTTAGTATTATCCAAAACACAAATATACCTGATGAGTTTTTCATGTACTCAAATATTCCAGCTTGATTGCAATTATTAGGATCAATAGAGGAAGATAAAGCACTAACAGCAAAAATGGGAAGAAAAATATTTTTGCGCCAAAAGTTTGTGCTCTAGAGGAGAAAAAGCACCATTAGATTGTGAAAGTAATTGAAATTGGTTTGAGAGCAAGCATAATCTTGTCACAATGCATGGGATGATGGCAGATCGACAAGAAGAAAAGAGCGGATGCCTTTGAGGTTGTATACAGAGAAGTGTTTCAAGGAACAAGTGGGCAAATTTGGTACATTTTACGATTTGCCCAGAAAACATTTTCTCGGCTAACATGAAGGTTTTTGATTTAGAGATAAGAAGCATTGTAACCCTCTAGAGCAAAAGCATAGCGAATAAATTTAGACGATTGCTTATTTGACTTGACTGAGCTAGATAAGAATCTAATCAAGCTCATCTCTTAAATTCAAGTCAAAGCAACCGAAAAACTGTAGTATTCTGAATTCTAAGATTAATTCAACCCCAGCAATGCAACTTATCATGATTCAACCACAAAGCAAAGAAATTCCCTATCAAACCAAGAATGTTGCTACCCCTCCAGTTGAGAAGCATCCAATAGTTATGCAAATCAGGTAATACAATAACATTAAACTTTATTTACACAATCTCGCAAACGCAAGTACGGTTCTTCTAACAAGCAAAAACTGAACTAGAAAGAAGGGCTAAAATACAATGATGTCTCAAAAGTCAAAGCTACACATCTTTGTGTGTGCTTTCTACATTTACAATAGGCCTACCTGCAACAAGTCATGGATGTTCAGGTTTTGAACTAGCATTCATTGTTCTATCCGTTTCTTGTCGCACTTTTGTGAACCAAGTTGTGTAGAGAAATTGCTTATTCGGACCAACATGGTTGCATATGAGCCGCACCTTTTGTCTCTCTCTCATCCATCTCAACACTATTTTCATGTGCCTTTTGCTAGTCAGTCCTCTCAAACCAACTTCCTGAATTGTTTTGAGACAATGATCAGCAAATTAAGCACACCAGGACGACAATAAGAACGATGACATCCAAGAGATGCAAAGGTGTTGATGCATTATACAGCAGAGAGGCAAAGAATAAGGGATGAGGATTAGCAAGCACTGAAAACCTTTAAATACAAAAGGGACATTACTTGAACGCGCTCCCAGGTGCCTGCGATCGTGAGAGGACCGTGCTCCTTCAATATGTCGAAGATGACCCTGGTGATGGTCTGCGTCTGTTCTGGAGGCATCTTGAGCTCAATCGGCTTCATCTTCGGTTTCGGCTTCGTCGCGAAAAGCCTAATCGCTGTCCCGAACATGACCCTTTATTTTATACCTGTCTTCTGCTCGGAATAGAGTCGCAGAATCGGTAAAGGGAGCTTCTTTTAACTTAACAACAAGTAAGCAATTCCGGGTGTTGCCATATGATGAAATTGAAATTATCAGTACTCATACCCCGCGACGAAATCAGGTTTTCGTTTCCGTTCGAAGAAGCGACGATTCATGCACACGGGTTTATATCTCTTGCAGGTAGTGCGTATGTATGATGTATGAATGGAGTATAGCATTTGGCATGGGATTTGACTCACTCTGCTCAAAACAGAGAAGAGATTTGCACAAACGGGTCAGTTTTTGCAAGTTAGAATCCGCCGTCTCTGCGCACATTTCATATTCACTTCCACGAATACGTCCGGCTCAGCTATCCCTAATTCGACTACAAATGCTTGAGCATTCCGCTCCCCAAAACAGCAATCTTTCGAGAAAGAATCATAACCGTCCGAGGAGCCAAACAGCGACGCCGGAGAGAATTCACAAGCTGAACAGTGCGACCTAGAGAGATCGAGAGAGAGAGAGAGAGAAGGGACCTGAGCGGGGACGGACTATATCGGACGCGACGGAGATCGCTGTCGGGAGCGGCGGAAGTGGCGAGACCCGCGACCGTTCCGGGCGGGATCGTCGACGAGCGCCGAGCGGGAGAGAAGCAGCAGGCGAGGACGGGCGGCGAATGCTCCGGCGGCGGCGGGCGGCGGCGGGCGGCGGAGCTCGGGGCTAGCCGCTGGTGGCTGCGATCGGCGAGAGTGGAGAACGAGAGGGGAGAGGGCGAGAGCGGCGTCGAGTGCAAAAACCTGGCCGCCCGTCGAGCACGTGACATTCACGTGCCCATATCCCCCTCAAATTGCTGACGTGCAAGTCACGTGAATTACGCAAAAACAAGCCCAGAATTGATAGCCACAGGTCACTCATGCCAGGGTCCGATTCATACTTCTCGTCGATAGGAGAGCGCGGAGATCCGGTGGCCATACTGGTAGGTAGACCTGTTAAATAGGTGGGTCGGATCAGGTTTGGATCGGGTCATAAATGGTTCGATCCAAATTGACCCATTAACTCGTTTATGACCCATTTATTCATAGTGTAAATATCTCGACACATACCCGATTCGATCCATACCCAATCCATACCCGACCCGATCCGACCCATATTGCTAAAACACTTTTATATTTAACCTAATCTAGGAATACTTGTTTCTTATGATTTTTTTTTAAATTATACTGCTAAAACATTTTATGCAATACAAAGCTAGTGAAAAAATTTTATAATTTTTTTTAAAATTGAGGTTCTGTTTGTTTTACGAAAAATGCGACATTTCTAAAAAATATTTTCCATAAAGTCATTATCCAAGAAAATAAAAAAAAATTAATATTTTTTTTTATTTTTTAAATCGAATTTTTAATTATTTTTTCTTTTTCTTTTTATTTTTTTATTTTTCCTTTATTTTTGGCCGATCGCCGGCCACGGCGGCCGGCGACCGACCACAAGCAAGGACGAGCTCGCCGGATCGGGCGAGGTGGAGCCTCGCCGAGGCCGCTGGCTTCGAGCTCGCCCGGCCTCGGGCGAGGTTGAGTTCGCCGACGCGGCGAGCTCGAGCCGCCCGGCCTCGGGTGAGGCTCCGGCCTCGCCGTCTGGCGAGACTCGAGCTCGCCGGCCTCGGGCGAGCCTCGAGCTCGCCGGAATCGGGCAAGCTCGAGCCTCGCCCGAGGCCGGCGAGCTCGAGCTTCGCCGGCCTTCGGCGAGGTCGTCCCGCCCCGGTGGCCGGTCGCCGTGGCCGACCACAGGCCGGAATAAAAAAAAAAGAAAAAGAAAGAAGAGAAAAGAAAAAATAAATAAAAGAAAAGGAGAAAAAAATAATTAAATTTCGATTTTTTTTAAACATTTTTGTAAAGAGAGAGAGAATGTGTGGATGGATCTAGTAGGTGGGTTGGACATGGGTTCCAAACTCAACCCATTTAAACCCATTTATCTTTAAGCTTTAAAATTTAAAACCCATTTAAGGTTGACTCTTTAAAATTAAAGTGACTCATATATGATCCATTTATTTTTAAATGGGTCATATATGGGTTTAAGACCCATTTTGACACCTCTACCGGTAGGTGTCGTAAGGGGGCAGCACTCCCGAAACATTAGAGGACGTTTTATAATTTTAACTCGCATTTTATTGATAATATAAATTTGGGCTAACGAATAATTATTAAATGCCTATAATTACGTAACATAAAGGTAAAATGTATTAATTATAATAAAAATAAAATATCATGTCTCGATTTTTCGTCCTCACCTGTAGTCTTTATTTAGTTTTGTTTGCTTAACTAATCGTAACAACCCAAAGGTGACTATGCCGGCTAGATATAGTTCTTCTCGTCTTTAAGACCGCAAATTCTTAAGTTTCTCACCTTAGGGTCGATAAAAAAAAGGTAACGTGCTTAAGAATTCGCCACCCTTTGAAAATCGAACTTAAAAATTAATGAACGAATGAAATATGTTTTCATCGTCGACGAAATTATCGAAGCATGAATTATTGTTGACGATAAAAACATGACGAGACAATCAATCCTTTTACGAAGAATATTTGTCGAATTCTTTTATTTTACGCAAGATAAAAGCGATCTCGGATGCGTTTGCTTCGTGAAAAACGAATGGTCCGGAAAATAATTTCCTAAAAGCGATCACTTATGTCGCTTGAAATAATTAGCCAATGAAAGTATATCCATCATCGACGGCAATTTATGTGTAATTATTTTCGTGGACGACGAAAATATTTTTCGTTCATTCATTCTTCGGAGGCGATACAAGTGATCATTTTTAAGAAAATATTTTTCGAATCGTTCATTTTTCGCGAGATAAACGGATCACGAAAATTGTACGATTTGTTTTTTTCCAAATGAATTCAAAGTCAAATAGAGGGTTCTTTTAGGTCTCCTCATGATAATTGAAAATGATTTTGAACTGTATCTTCCAAGTCTTCCGCTAGCCCAAGCTGGTCCACGCCCCCGCACGCGGCGGAGCACGACGGCATTGCGGAAGTCTCCGTCCACTGTGTGTTGACTTTTATCAATATGCGAGCACATTTCTTAACCTATATTCGATGGGCCGCGTTGTTGCATAGATTAGTTATATTCAAAATGAATCGTAAATGAGTTTAGAATGGTATTATCCAGAATATCTATTAAATGGGTTCACAACTTACTTAAACCCAACGTACCTCTACGACTCTCCTTTTTCATTTTCTCGCCCTCTCACCTAAATATAGGTTACCGAATTTGTATTGAGTAGGAATTGGTCAAAACGGGTTAAATGGATCGGTTTGGGTCGGATCGTTTCCGACCCGACCCCATCCGCTCGACGGGGATTTGGTCGATGTGCAGGCCGAGCGTGCCGTGTCGAGTCATGCTCGGATTATTTGTTTTCCCCCTTTTACGATTCGCGTTTTCCCCCCTCATCAGTGCCGCGTGGAGGGAGTCGCGCCCGACACCGTCGGCTCTGGAGCGGGCCGTTGCCTCTCTCGGCGCGACCCGGCCTCGCGAACGACTCGATCGAGCAGAACGAGTGATGCCGATACGGTATCCCCCAAAAAAAAAAAAGAAAAAAAAAAAGGCATGGCTGCCGTTTGGTCAACGCTCACCCTCTCCTCTTCCAATTCAACGTTGAATCCTAGAGAGAGAGAGAGAGAAGGGAAGGAGTGGTTATGTCAAGATCTAGAAACGAGGAAGCAGTCGCGCAACGACTGCGCCAACGGCCAACGGCCGCCAAACGCGCACAGACAATGAGCCGCTTCCCCTCTCCCCCATTCCCTTCTTTATTTGAACCTTCAAAGGCGCTGGGGGCGCACACACACGCAGGCTCCCTCTCTCTCTCTCTCTCTCTAGGCGTTTCTCTCTCTAAAACAAGGAGGGGAACCCCGCCCTGCCGCCGCCGCCGCCACCCCTCGAGGCCTGGGTCGCCGTCTCCTCCTCCTCCTCCGCCTTCTTCAGCGATGGCGTGCGAGAGGAGCCTGAGCAAGAAGTCGGCCTCGTTCCGCCTCCACAGCCCGAGCCTCAACTCGCTCCGCCTCCGCCGCATCTTCGACCTCTTCGACAAGAACGGCGACGGGGTCATCACCGCCGGCGAGCTCGGCCACGCCCTCGCCTCCCTCGGCCTCGACGCCAGCCCCGCCGAGGTCGAGTCCGCTGTCCGCTCCTTTGTGAAGCCCGGCTCCCCCGGCCTCGACTTCGACGACTTCGTCATCCTACACCGGTCCCTCGACGAGATCTTCCCCGCACCGTGCGAGGACGGCGAGGGCGGCGACGAAGACGCCGGCAGCAGCGGCGGCGGCGGCAGCTCCTGCTCCTCCTCGCAGGAGGAGAGCGACCTGTCGGAGGCGTTCAAGGTGTTCGACGAGGACGGCGACGGGTTCATATCGGCGAGGGAGCTGCAGGTGGTCCTCGGCAAGCTCGGGCTGCCGGAAGGGCAGGAGATCGCGCGGGTGCAGCAGATGATCGTGTCGGTCGACCGGAACCACGACGGGCTCGTCGACTTCTTCGAGTTCAAGGACATGATGCGAGGCGTCATGGCCACGATCGTTTCGTGATTCAATGCACACGTTTCAGAGTATCTGAACATGTTCTGTCGCATATTTAAATCTTGTCTTCTTTCTTCCGCTGGTGTTCTCAGCAGAGTTTCTTGGATTGTCATGCACGAGGAAATGAGAAAGGGATCGTGAATTATGTGAAATTATTGACCGACCATATCTTTGGAATTTTCTCTATTATATTTAGGGTTTGCTTTTGTTACCTGGACCGACGACCACATGGTGATGACCATACCCAGATCAGAAGTAACATCAAACGAAATCCGGCCAAAAAAAAAAAAAAAAACTGGTCGATCATGGTGCTCCGATTGTGGTATGGGAGAATCTTCGTACAAGGAAATAAACTCATTTTTGTCATAAATGAATAGATTACATCCATCCTTGACTGTTTTGGTCTCGAGCAATGTTAGGAGATGATTAGGACCATTTTCCTTTACCTGAGAAATTCTCCGTATCCCTTTTTGATCGTGCATATCATTGATTAATGTGGTTACGGAGCAAATCTAATACTGTCTCTATTGCAATATACAAAAACGACACGAATACCTATTCTGCATTATTCTTATGTTGCATGTTAGAGGGGGCGTTTAAGTATACATATGCTCGTTATGTAATTATAGTGTATTTCCACCTAATATGATATAAAATCGTGGAGAATCTCCCTAACAAGTAGACTTTGGATTTCAATTTATTGTATGGCGGCCAGTTCATTCATAAACATTTCAATTTTATCAATTTAGTATAAACCATTTGACGACTTTCCGATCGCTAAAATTTTACGTGACACGACCGGTGCTAACATGAACAATTTTTGCAATTTAAAAAAAAAATCATGAATTTTCTTCATTTTTTTACTTCCTTTTCTTTTCCTTTCCTTTTCTTTTTTCCCTTCCTGGAATAACATGCCATGTGGCAATTTTGATATAGAAAATCGACTGTGATTAAGTTGTCGCGTGTCAAAAGGATACGTGTTAATAATTTGCTAACAACGTGTCATGAGGACACGAGCTAATGATGTGTCGCTTCGCGTCACAAGAGCACAGGTTAACACCGAACCAACTAGAAAAAACGATTAGCAAATAGATCGAGGCATCCCTAATCATCTTCACTTCGAGCTTTACCAAGTCATAACATTCTAAGCAACTCAATAGGATAGCTGCCATGCCACTAATGATGAGTTATTCCTGCGCAGAGCACAGCAATGCTCCGCGGAATACGTGCAGCAAATCCGTGGCAAGGACATTAGTTAATAAGTTTGGAAAATTATATCAAAAATACATTATACTTTACTATGGCATAAATATTGACCGGCAAAATTACGCATTTATACATAACCAATTGACTATGTATTTTACTAATTTTTAATTTGAACTTTACAATTTCGTTCATTTTTGTGGAAGGTGCTGTGATATCGACACGATTTACCGTTAATTTTGCTGAGCAAGTTGACATAGCTAAAACATGATGAAAGCACATCAACCACGAAAAGAATAAAGTTAAATGAGTTTAGAGCCTGTTTATTTAGATAAAAAAAACTAGAAAAGATACCTTTTATTTTCTCGTAAAGAAATTTGAAAATTATTAAGATTTAATAAAATTATGAAATAATTATACGTGCATTTACATGTCAAAATTCAGGAGTTTCACGTTAAAAAAAGGGTCACCATATTTAGATTAAGAAAAACAGAAAAAAAAAAGGAGAGTAAAATTAATCCAATCAAAACTCCTAATAATTGACAAGTTTTGTTAAATAGTGACCCCGAAACAAAAACAACTTTTTCCAAGACAATGTCAAGATGGAAACACTACTGCACATTTTAATAAATCACTCGCTCCAAATCGCAACTATATTAAATCTCCTATGAACATTTTTAATTAAGCTTCAACGAGCGCCGAAGGGGGACACTCTTTGACATTTTTTATAATAGAGATCGAAATTCTGACGATACAATCAGGAAGCCGCGCGAAAATGTACGGTAATCACGATTAGAATTCGCCTATTTAAGAAGCTAAAAGTGTCTAGGAAACGGGGAGGCAATTTTAGACGATTCGGGTGCGCGCGAGATCGTAACGCGAAAGAGTTGGAGCTCACGCTTTCGTACACCTTAGTAGAGAAAGCTAACGGCTACTGTGTGTGTGTGTGTGTGTGTGTTTTCTTTTGCCCTTTTTGCCTCCTCAAAACTAGAGACCGTATGCAAATACAATTTCTTGTGAAGAAGCCTGCGCATATAAAAAAGAAGGGGCAAAAAAAGCCTTCGCGTCAGGCGTTACGCTTTTCTCTGCTGGCGCGCTTCTCGACTGGGAGTGACGCATCCGAGCTTGGAGTTTTGTCCGCCGACGGCCCCATCCATCCCTTCTTCCTTCAAAACTCCTGGCCGAAAGTGCCAAGCGCGCGCGCGCTCTCTCTCCTCGCAAGCACCTCCTCGATCTGCCCGCCTCCTCTCCCGCTCGTCGTCCTCCTCCTCCTCCTCCCCTTGCGAAGAGACCCTTTTCGCGCAATACCAAAAAGGTAACTTTTTCTCCTGCGACCCTGCAAACTGCCCTCGTCTTTCTTTGTCGCTTTCTTCTGATTTCTCGTGGGATTGCGCCCGCATTTCGCTTTTCGCCGCACGTTTCTTCCTGCTTTCGATGATTTTTCTCTTTTTTTTTGGAGAGTTATTGGTTGGGCTCTGTAATCGTTTTTGTTCGTGTCAAGATCGTCGTTTTTTGGATGGACCCGATTTGTATTCCGCGTCAAGATTTGAACTTGAGGAGACCCTTTTGAGATTTGCCCTCTCTTTCGTCTTGGGTTTTCGTTCTTGGGGGGTTTTTTGGTTTCTTTAAAGATCCCGGGTTCAATCTTGGAGCTAGGGTAGAATAAGGTATTGTTGTCTAGCAAATGCTCATGGTGCTATGTGCTGGTTTTTTTTGTTTTTAACAGGTGCTGTGTTTTATGCTCGGGTTCATGGGTTCTGAATCGAAAGCGGGTTCTTTCGATGATGTTGAGTGTCAATGTACAGATTCAGTGCAGAAGTCAGAATCTTCAAGTGTTAAGGACACCAAGAAGTGTGTTGGAGAGCGAGTTGCTTCAATTTTGGATGACAAGTCATTTGCTCAATGCGGAGTCACTTTGGATGTTAGAGGCGAGACCGGAGATGCATTCCTTGATCTCGAATCTCCCCTTGTGGCATTGGAGAAAGAAATGGCTTGCCACACTCCTAAGGACGATGCATTGGGCAACAGGGTCATTGATGGTCGCGACAATCTACAAATGACTTATCAAAAGCTAAAGCATACGGATGAATGGCGAAGCAGCATTCCTCGGCAGCTTAATTTCGGCCCCTCAACCGATGGTTGGGGAGCTGGAATTTGTGGGAGGGATCTTGCCATGCTGTCAGACGAGGAAATGGTCGAATTAATTTACCAATATTTATTAGAGATGATTCTGCTTGAGAAGGCTGAGGATCTTCTTGCTGAAAAGTCGGAGGCGAAGCGGGATTTCGACGATTGCAGGACGCCTCCTTCCGCGCCACGATCAAATGACACTGTAGAAAGTTGTCCTGGCGCTCCTGTAAAACGCATGACTCAATCGAGGAATGTCCCTTCGGGTTTATGCAGAAAGCTTCAGTTTTGATACTTTTGACTGCTGTGCTGTTGAGTGTTGAGACCTATACAGGTTCTTCTTCTTCTCTTAGTACGAACCAGACAATTATATGCTAATTCAGGATTGTAACATATATTCCTTAACATCATGATCATGCAGAAGTATTTTTTTCGGGGAAATGTGTCCTTAACATTCTTTTGTCAGAACGTTTGCTCTGTCTGCTTTTTGGATTGAATTTGTGTAAAGTCAGGATGTATTATTTTCCTTTATTCGGCTGAGTGGATTGTTTCTGAAAGTGCTGCATTTTGCATCTAAGTCATAGAATTGCAATTTTCAGTGTGCAATGCATGGTCTATTCTTCTTTTAAACAATTGAAGCGACTGAGATTTTTTTCGCCAGACTTTCCTTTCAAGGCTGCAGCTCGTAATCGCATATCATGCATAAGATGTGAATATTGCAGTGATATACGTCCTGATGCACCATTATGGCCATTGAGGTTGTTTTCTGATTGTTGGTTTGATTGAGTTGTTCACTGGAGAGGAAATCAGAAATTCTTTTAGGCCATTGAAAGCCTATTCTGTGGGATTAGGAGTTGCTTCTGAAGGCTTTCGACAATGAGTTTTAGGTCAAGCATTTGGCGCTTTCCTCTGTGGAACGAGCAGGCTATCAATTGTTGTCTCTGTGTCTTGTTGCATATGGCTCACGAAGCAAGACCAATCTGTCTGCAAATTCAACTGAACCAACATCAGATGCCAGGACAGGACAAACTCGTCAAGTTACTGAAAATGAACCGAGATCCTTAACCATGTTTCGCACATCCTTTCATTCATCAGACTTCCGTAGCTTTGAGACCGGTGAATAGCTTTCTTCCACAAGTAATCAGAACTTACAGGTTAGTGAGAGATATCATCTTGCTCATTCGAACCGTTTACTCTCTTGCATGCTACAATGGTCCGATGAGTCACTGCCAAATTCCCCAAAGGTCCCCCCGTTATCTATAGACCTGTCAAACGGGTGGGTCGGGTCTGGTCGAAAATGGTCCGATTTAAATAGATTTATCTAATCCGTTTTGACCCATTTACATGCAATGCAAATCTAGTGACCCATACTCGATCCGACTAGTACCCGATCTGACCCATGTTGTTAAATCACTTTCATATTTAACATAATCTAGGAAAACTCATACCTAAACTAAAGTGAGAGAGCCGATTAAGTGAGTGCGAGATTGAATGGGGCAAAAGAGAATGAAATCGAACGGGGCAAAAGAGAATAAAGAGAGTTAAATCCATTTATGACTTATTTATGATCCATTTATGACCCATTTAACACCCATATTTTAAATCCATTTATGACCTATTTACTAAACATAACTAACTCATATAACAATTTACCCATTATGGATTAAGAAATTGGTCTATTATCCATTTTGACAGGTTTCGTCATCTATTTTTACCTGAAAGTTTAACTTCCAGAACGAGATAGAATGAGTCTGCACAATGTTTTTCCTGCATAAGAGACGTTTCTGTTTGAATAAATGGGGTTAGTCATCGTCCCCTTTGATACTCTTCACTTTCCATTATTAAGCTTTAGTCGTTGAAGATGAATCCATGGGTTCAGCACAATGCTGGCTTTTCTGATTGATTCAACAGAAAACCGAAATGAAATGCCTCTACAAAACCAGTCAGATTTCACCAATCTGAGTGTACTTGAGCTGTTCGTTGGATCTTCACTGCTCTTACAAATGAAAGTAATCAGATTGAAGTACAATCCTTCTTCTGAGGGAACAAATCCTATCAGGACCCTCAATATGATCATCGTTCACCATACCCTTTTCACTGGTCATGTGAAAACAGAAAAGATGAAGGAACAGAAAGAAAAACAAGATGATAGAAGCTGCTTGAAACGAAAAGATGCTTGAAAGAAGAACACCTTACTCAAAATCGAAGCCTCATCTTTCTTTACACGAAAACAATCAGGAGTTATTCGAAAAGTAAAAACACATAGCACAAGGAGCTATACAACTCTGCCATTAACGATGTCGACGTCGACATCGATGCAATTACGATGAGAGGAAGCAATTTTCATGAAATAAAAGCAACAGGCTATGGCCAAAAATTGAACATTCCTCTTCTTCTATCTTTTTTGTTTCTGCGTACGTGAGATTCTGGATCTGCCTTTGTGATAAGCCTACAACTCCGTCTCATACTCGCATTGGTGCTCATCAATGGTTCTATTGGAAATGAACACATTGATGTCGCAGGAAACTGCGGACTTCACATGAATCTTGAACACGCTCAAGATGGAAACCTTGCCCGATATATTCGTGGAAGCAGTCATGGGAAGCACGCCACCCATGATGTCGGAGTACGTCCGTGGGTTTGACAGCATGCGATCTGCCATTACCGTCACCGCAACGTTCATGTCCTCCGTGCTGTCAGCTGAGATCCTGCCTGCAGGGATTGGAGCTTCTCCGATGGGCTCTCCTTGGTAGCCTAATTCCACGGACGTGTCCGTGTAATCGACTCCCACCCTGTTTGGGTTCCTCACGGAGAGGTCCATGTCCAACGTCATGTTCAGCAAGGCTTTCATCCGCGCCATGTCGAAGGAGACATTGAGGTCCTTCAGATTCATCGAATTCACCGTGATCACCGGTTTCTTGGCCTTGAAAACCGTCAGGGCCAATATCAAAATCACCAGGACGATGATCAGGACGACCACCAGGACGGCGACACAGATGTTCCTGCACTTGTTGCTCCATTTACCTTCCTTCGGCTGCTCGACAGACATTGGAGGTGCCGAGGCCACTTCCATGTGATGCAATGCCGAAAGCCAAGGAAAGCTTTAGGACAGGCCTTTGAAGGCTTAGGATGATTTGAAGGCTTTAGAGGCAGAGTCGGAGGTTATTGCTATCCAGGCAGGCTAAATGAGGACGAAGATGATCAAAGGCTAAATTGGTGATTCGATGCCTCAGTTAGTAACTTAGTATCAACCGTTGGATCTGTTGAAGTATTATCTCACATTGCTTGATAACGGGTCATAAATACTTTTTCTATTTAGGTGATCTCTATTCATCTATCAGCTTAAACTTTTGGGTTAGACTTTCTATCTAACACGGTATCAAAGCCGGTGCTATCCCCTCTCTTGACAACGGGTCTTAATAACCACCTATAGATCACATTTCGGGGGCAATTTGGATCGTCGGATTTTGATAACTACATGCATGAGTTGAATGAGCTTGCGTGCAAGATTCTATACATTTGCCAGAATTTTTTGAACCGTGGATCCTCCTCTTCTTAGGGTTTTTATTATATTGCCTAGTTATGCTTAGGCGAAAGATATTTTATTTCATCAATCAGATATTTACCTATTCTCACCTTAACTTAATTATTTTGTTATGGAAATTGACATATTATCTTATGTATTACCCACGCGTCTTATTAGGGTCCCTCGTTTGGCGATCTCTGTTGTTCGACCCCCATGATAGCCTTGTCATGTAGCATCCAATCGATGAATGTGTGGGTGTTTGTGTGTAGAAATCGAATAAGGCAAGCCAAACAAAATCGAGTGTCTTGGATTCATTGGTTAATTTTACTAAATTGGCAAATCGTCAAAGAGTTTAGTTTTCCCCTGTGGATCCAGCATTAGCTCGAACGAATGTGGCACAAGAAGATAGAATTAAATCGACACAGCCATGAATATAGCCCAAGTTTGGCAAGCGAGCTGTCTTAGTGGTTAGGTGAAAGTGCACGGAAGAGAGGAAGGCACCGACACCAACCGTGTCCAATGCAGAGTTACAAGTACAACGCGAAGCAGCAGCTGCAGCAGCCTACAACCAAAATGATAGCCATTTAGCTAAGTTGCTGATTAACTCCTTAAGCTACCGCCGCACAACAAAGAGTGGTCCATGCGAGAGCTTATAGCCTTGTAGCCCACCAATGCTTTGAATGGAGATCGAGCCAGATCAAGAACCCCTCGTGCCGCCCCCCCCCCTATTCATTCCGGCTGTTGTAGCTTTGGAATTAGATCACTAGGAGACTAAGAAGAAGATGGAAAGTTGGTGCGTGGGAATGGTCGTTAGAGACCGTGCTTGTCATTGAATGGACGGGTCGGTTCGAGCGGTCGAGATGGTTTGGTTACATTAGCGAGAATTAGTCGAGTTTGAAATGTTTGGATGCCGTGTTATAAAAATGATTAAGTTCACTTGTACTTTTCGGTAGATGTTAGAGATTTGTTTTTTGAAAAAAAGTGAAAATTAATAAGGGAAAGTATACTTTGTCAATTCCATTAGCGGGTGATAATTATTATCGTTAGAAGTTGATAAATTTGCATTAATCGTTAGGAGAGATCAAATTGATTATCTTTCTAACGTGTATAGGTTGAGTATCTTATTTAATACGTTATATGAATACATTTCGATGAAAAAACTGTAATTAATTTTCCGTTCGTGTCAATGCAATTTAATAAACTCTACAAAGTATCCACTTAATTGTTTAATGAAACTAACTCGTGGCGCGAAATAGCCTTTTAAACGCCATATCGTTGTCATGTGTTCTACCGTTTCCGTTTTTATGGAAATGTAGATAGAACTTGTAGTCCATCAATTACAAAGTTTGGAGTGACTTCTTATAAATTTGAAGTTTGGGTTTTTCAAAATTTTACGACGCATACGCTTTTATATAAAATGCTTGAAACCTTTAAATATGTGTTTATATGAGACATGTAGATTCACAAAATAATTTTTTTTTTGTAATTATATCTTTGATAATATTCTTAATTTCGACAGAAAAGTACAAAAAGAAGAAAAAGTTCCCATTATAATTTTTTTAATCCAAAATAACCCCAATTTGTATTGGATAAGCTCATTAACCACATAGATTCTATAGCTTTAATTCATTAATCACTTCAGGCTATATAATTAAGAAAATCCAAAACCGCTTTCAACCTTAAAATTTGGCCAAAGGAATTTCCTAATGCATCCTCGGCCGCAATAAATGATAACATTATAACCTTAACAGATCGGTAAAATGATAACTCCAAAGGGTCAACGGGATAATTCTATTATCCCATAAACATTTCATAAATATTAAATATATAATTGAAATCTATTTCATCTTACAACAATTTCCATTGATTTTTTCCAAAGTAATTCAAATTACACTCTCTTTCATATATATATATAAGATATAATATTTGCGTTTGTCTTTTATTAATAGCGATACAGCGAGAGACTATAAATTGTGACCGTAGATTCGATTTTCAACAGATGCCAACCGTTCGATACACCTGAGCCTAGGAAGATGCGATTTTTTTTTACTATATTTATCCCGTTTTTTCCAAAAATATCGGAAACGATTCAAAACGACCTCCAAAACCGCGTCCCTCTTCGGATCTTCCCCCCCCCCCCCCGCCCCTCATCCGCCCATGCACCGTCTCGCCTTCCTCCCTCCGACGACACTTCGCTCTCCGGCGAGCGCGGGCGGCGGAGCGATGGGAAGCGCGGGCGGCGGGGGCGCGGAGGCGGGGGAGTTCGAGGGGCTGGTGTCGGAGGCGATGAAGCGGTGCCGAGCGAGGGGGGAGGCTCCGGCCGCGTGGTCGGCGGAGGTCGCCAGTTGCGCCGTCGCCCGGGGGCTCGAGCTGCCGAGCGCCGAGCTGGGGCAGGTCCTCGTGTCGCACCTCTCCTCCAACTTCGGGGAGCCGTCCCTCTGGAAGTTGCTCGACCACGCCATGGCCTCCCGCCTCATCTCCTCCCTCCACGCCCTCTGTCTCCTCACTCCCAGGTACGCCTCTCTCTCTCTCTCTCTCTCGCTCTCTCGCTCGTTCGCTTGCTCGCTTTGTGGAGTTCACTGGGGGCGGTTGTTTCTATGTGCCTGCGATCGTTTTTGTTCAAGTTTCGTGTCGCTGTGCGCTTGAGATGGAACAAACCGCGAGAACGGCGATCCAGGGGCGCAGGAGAGATTGTTCCGATGCCTGAGATCAGGAGTGGAAAATGGCGAACGTTGTGGCTTTTTTTTTATTGTAATGGCGTGGAACTTCGAATCTGATACGGTGATTGAAGAAATGACGCATGCAAGGGGAAGCCATACTCTGTCTGTGATGGATCAATGTCGTGACGAACGAATGGGAAGTAGAATTCATGATTTTTAGGAAGATGTCACGTTAATACGATTCAATGAAGATTGGAAAGAATGATCGCCGGGACTGCTTTTGCGTGTGTACTTGTAAATGACTGATTCTCAAACTTCTGCTCTGGCTTTGTGATTTAATTTCTTCGAGAAGTTTAACGGCTAGTTCAGGGGAGGTTTAAGAAGTAAGTGCAGTTGACTGATTATCTCTGCTTTTAGGCCTTTTGCTCTATGGCTTTGCTTGGACGATGATTCGATGGATTGTTAAGTCGTATTTGTAACTGATGTATAGCAGAGTTTGGACTCTCTATCTTGCATTTTCCCCGGAAGCTTCTTGTCCCTAACCTCACGTTTGCAACAGGGTCCTCTCCTGTCGGCAGGCTCAACCAGAAGCATACAGACTCTATCTCGAACTCTTAGCTAGATATACATTTTCCTTTGAAGATGTTCCCTCAAAGGCTTCCAGAGATAAGTAAGTTTTAGTTTCTTGATTTCAACTTTTAGTTAGCGGAATACTAGATTTATTACCTTCATTCATGATGTGGCACTTGCTGAATCCACGACCGAAGTAGTTTTAATTGTTATTTATTTGAGGCAAAAAGTTCATTGGAAGTCCTCAACTCACATGCGGAATGCGATCGAGTTCTAAATCGTTTAGTTGATGCAACTACTTTATGAATTTTGAATAAGTGCATTGTTGTTCTGCTGGAAAATGTCTACATTGGTGGAAAAAACTGTTTATATGGCAATTTAGAGGTCATTATGCCGGATACATCAGAATATTTGATGGCCCCTTGACTTGTCCACTTTTTCCTATGTCAACAATGTTTATGCAGCAATTGAAAGTTTCAGCACTCAATTACGCACTTTATATAAGATTTAGAACTTTCGGTGTACTGTACCCATTTTAAAGAGTTCACTTGTGTTTAGATAAAGGGTGGTATGGTTTCTCAATGTCCCTTTTTGCAGCACTCAAAGTTGGAGACATCGAAATGGCTTTGGCACACTTTGTTGATGTTCAAGATGGAAGCATGCACTTGAAGTGTTTACTTGGTCATGCTGATAATAATTATGCTTTGAGTTTCTTCATTGCATGGATATGCAACTGAAGAGAATCTCCGGAAGAGAATCTCCGGATTGTACATGATAGCGAGTCAATGTTCTTGAGATGCTTGAAGACATTACTTCATGCAGTGCTCTCAGTATTTATGCATATCTTTACATGTTGGTTTTTTGTTCATTATCTAGAGTTTCCTTGGTGCTTTATGCAAGTTTCCTTCACAGAAAAGCAGACATCATATTCTCAGCATAGTGTGCGTAGTTTTTCTGCTTCTAATATTAAGGACTAAAAGGAGAATGTGGAAGTAGATAATGATTGGATGCATAAGAAAAGACACAGCTTTCTACATTGAAGCAAAGGTTGACCTGGATTGGTTCTATTCATTTTCCTCAACCTTGTAGTATGAGGTGCTTTATATAACCACTTTGCTTTCTAGCCGTTGCTGAATAAATTAATTGGGAGGGTGCCATGTGGAGCAAAATCATTATCTCCTAGCCTTGTTTTGCCGCTTGTCATCAGCTCACATTGTTTTTGACTTTTTAAAGTAGTGCCAATTATAGTGGTTTTTGGTGCATGGAAAATGCTAATAGAATACCTATAAAAGTGTGCAGGATTGTAAGAGCTATCGA